AATTCAACCTAATACGTTTCACATCCTACAGGCGTGTTGAACAGAACACAAAAAACTAAACACTTATTCATTGTTTATTTTATATTTTCAATGAATTAGAAGTGTGCAAGATTATTCTACTCTCTCTAGGGTAGTAAAGATATGAAAATTTTTCTCAAACAGGATACAAAGTACGAAAAAAGCTTACCCTACACCAGAAATGCCCATAGCGGCAGGTTCTTTTTATAAGACAGCTTTTGAAATACTTGACTTGTTTTTTACACTTAAAGATTGAAAACGATAGACTCTATTAAATTTTGAATATTCCATCATGATGCATTATTGGTGTTTTTTTTTTTCTAGCATCATTGTGATCTTGATACAGTTTTTCATCGTACGCATGATGATCCATATATACAAGCAGCATATGAATTACAATTATGGAAAGAAAATAAAGAACGAGAATTTGAAAAACATGTTTGTATTTTTGATTATATTAATTTTCATTGATTCATTTTGATTTTTGAATATATAAATAGTTACGTGAACTTGAAGCCAAAAAAATTTATGAATTAATGGAAGCATTTAAAGAAAAAGATCGTGAACGTGAATCAATACTTCAAAAAAAGGTACATTGTAATTAATAAGAGAACAAAAAAAAAAATAAACAAATTTTTATTATTATAGATAAAAGAATATGGAGATTTAGAAAAACAAATGAAAAAAACTTTAATGGATATTGAAAAACGTGAAAAACAATTGAATGTTAAAGAACAAGAAGTAAAAACGAAAAAAAAAAAAAAACAATATTCTTTTCTTGTTAAATATTACATCATAATTTTCTCGTCTTGTAATAGGTTCAACGTATGCATATTGATTTAAAACGTGATTATGATAATAAATATATTGAAATACGTGAAGCATCAAAACGTTTACAAGAACAATCTGAACATCAAATAACACTTGAAAAGTAAATCAAATCTTTAATTTATTTCTAAAAGTAGCATATGCGAATAATTTTGTGAGTCGATTCTGGAGAACAATGAAAAAAATTGCTCTATATCTGACAAGATGTTAGAATCTATTTTGCAGATACATATTCTAAAAGGATATGTGCCATTAAAGTATGGTCATTTTACTGAATTTTTAGTCTGAAATTTCACTCAAAGCTAGATCTCGTTATCCTAAATATTTCGCGAAGGAACCATCAAAATTTTCACGATATACTTCAGATCAAAAAATCTATTTTGTAAGGAGAAGTTCTTCTTTTTTCATTTTCCTACGAATATATTATCATAAGCTGGAAATCCGATAAAATGGGTATTACTCTATGAGAAGAAATCCTTTCTGCGTATTCTCTAGTCTTATTGAGTTCTATTTATGAGCAAAATTCAGCGATTAACAGCTGAATATGTTCACTCATCAGAAAACTACAGTCGTTCAAAGATTTCAAGACACAAAAAATCCCACTCTCTTATCCTCCGACAGTTCTTGTCCACATATTTCTATTTATACTCTCTCTCAAAAATCGACTTCAGCCCAGGAACATTTAGACTATAGTGGAAAAGCTATAGTAGAATTTTCAGTTCGATATCATGACGTTTGAAGAAGATATTGGCTCAACAAGGGTCAAAAATAGTTCATTTGGCAAACTAAATTTCTCTGTTCAAGTTCATTCTATATATTTAATTTTTTTTGTTTTGTTTGAAAAAGCATGTCAGGATGCAGTGCAGTACAGAGCTCTTTTTTTAATTAAGGGAAAAAAAACGGATCGAAAGTTCAATGATTCAAAAACTCGGTAAAAATGGCGCTCAATTTATATAAATATTTGAAATCAAAGCTTATTCAAAAAAAAATAATTAAACATATAGAATGAGTATTAACAGAGAAATTTGGATTGCACGATCAAGAAACTACAAACGAAAAAGATTTTCTGTTCTTTCTAAAAATGACTTATTCTTCGAATAGAAAATGATAGAAATCTTCAAAAATTTGTGTTGTTTATGAAAGATCAGATCACAGGTTATCTCAGTAATTGGCCAATTAGGTGCGTTTTGATGGAGATTTTCGAAAACGATATTCTGAAGCTATTTCTCTTTCGATCTACGTAAGGCCGACCTTTCTAGCTTGTTCCATTCGAGAGTTATAAGATTTTACTTGAGACTCCCGATTTGAGTCAATTGATCTTCGATCACCCGAAAAGGCAGCTAGGTGGGGATAATCCACCATTCTACTTAGCATGATGAACTATACCTACCTAGCTGCTTTTCCGGGTGATCAAAGGTCAATTGGCTGAAATCGAAGATCTCATGAAAAGCTTTATAGCCCCAGAACGGAATAAGCTAGGAATATCTTCCTTGTGTAAACCGAAAGGAAGATGACTTCAGAATATCGTTTTCAAAAATCTCCACCAAGAATTCACTTGATCGACCAATCAAATTTTGATGACTCCGAGTCTTCTTCCCTCTTGAATGCTAAAAACTACAACTTTCCATGATATTCTCATCGAAAGTTATTCAAAAAAACATTGATCTACCCTGTGTTTTGGCGTCGATAATACCTAAAGTGTTTTTTTGTTTTTTGTCCTTATTTTAGAAGTAAAAATCAAGCATTAGATGATGAAATCGTTCGTTTAAAACGTTCGGTAGCCGAATGGGAAAAACGTCATCGTGATAAAGAACAAGAATTTTTTTCCTATAAAGAAAAACAACGTAATATACCAGAAGTTAAACTTCAAGCTGAAATAAATATGCTTACAATTGAAAAGGTAAATTTTTATACTTTCATTTAAAAAAAAAAATTTTTTTTTTCATTTGTTTTATTTTTATTTAGAATGAACTTCAACGTAAATTAGATGCTTCATTAACATCAGCTGAACGTTATAAACAACAATGGCTTAAAGCATTAAAAGAATATCAACGTCTTAAACAACGTGAACAAGATCAATCTAAATTTTTACTTCAAAAACAACAACAAGAACTTGAACATATGCGATTAAGGTAAATGTTACAAACAAAAAAAAGCAAGAAAAATTATATTCATTTTTTTTTTTTGTAAAGATATTTAGCTGCTGAAGAAAATGAAATAATGAAAAGTGATCATAAACAATTAGAAAATATTAAAAATGAATTAAATAAGTAAGACAAATAAAAAAAAATAAAAAAAAAAAAAATAAATTTTTTTTTCATTAAATTAGATTAAAAGAAGTTTCATCAACACCAACAATTACAGGTGATTTTCAATCGAATTTATCCGATGATAATGATCATTTAGAACAAGTTGATCAACAACTTGGTGTTTTAATTGAACATCGAGATACATTATTACAAACAGGAACATATACACATAATGATGCTTTAATACAAGAACTTGAAAGACGAATACAAGAAGCAATGAAACGCAAAAGTAGCAGCAGTAGTCGTTATCAGTAGTTTTATTGTGTGAATATCTTTTTAGAAGTTAAACTAATTTGTGTATACAAGATTTAGTAGATTTTGCGTTTTTCTTTTTTTGTCTCTTCTTAATTAAATATAATACTCGACTAATGCGTATATGATGATATCTTAGATTTACACAATACTTTTACTTAAAGAATTAATATTCAAAGAAAAAAAAAACCGAATAGTCATGATGATTATTTAATGATTTGGAAATGATGATTATATACATATTATATTGTAATTCTTGATGAATTATTTCCTTACTTACTCTTAATGACATTGAAATAGGTTTTTTATATTTCATTATTACAAGTCAATATTCATAAATGTCTAGATTTATGTAATATGATACGAATGAAAATTAAAGAAATGTTCTTATCGTACTTATGTTTCAAATAAATCTGACATCATAATACGTCACTAGTTATTTCGTGTGTTTTTTAAAAATAAACAGATTTTTGTTATTGATCTCAACATTTCAAATCATAAATGTTTAATTGATTCCATTCGAAAATACACGTACATAATGACGACATTAAATTTTGTTAACAGTCGATGTACGTGATTATTCTCTGTCCATTATCATCACTAGATTCTTTCGTTGTTGTTTTTTTTTCTTTTTTTACCTTGAATGATATGTCTAGACTAAATGATTGAATGAATTGAACAAAAACAAAAAAAATCCAACTATTCTATATGTTGATCACATTTGGCTTTCTTTTTTTTTTTTGTTTTAAAATTCTGTTCAATTCATATTTTTATAAATGTTCATTTTATTCAAACGAAGGTAAGTGTTGACATTGTTATTTGATGGACAACAAAAAGAAAAACAATAATCATTATCTTTACTTCACTGGAAAATGAAAAACTAATAAGTTTATTCATCAAAATTAGGTTAAACAAGCGCTTCTTCCGCTCGTTAGTCTCTTTCTTTTTTTTTTTGCAAGGAAATAGTCCTCGATATCATTTGTACACCTCACACTATTGTTTACTCACGCGCCAACAGCACGAGAATGAACATCAATGATCTAAAATCATACATAAATGAGAGAGAAAGAGATAGAGAACGAACACAAGCATTACTCTATTTCTCTTCCTCTTGTCAATGTGTAGGATTAATATGTACAGTGATGGTAGTTTGGTGATGACATGCTCTTCTTCTTCTTCGCTTTTTTTTTTCTGTACAGTTTTTTTTTTCGTCGCACTGCCTTGTTAAACATGCCGCCAAGTTGACATAGTATATATAGTTATTGTCGCGTCGCTTCTCATTTGGTATGAAAGTTTCTTCTTCTTCTTCTTTTTTCTTTTTCCTAATGTTTTAAGAGAAGATGCAAGTATTAAATATATTTAACTAAAGACAAAAGTCAATTCATTAAATTTGACCTCATTGTAATTGTCGTCTATTTCTTTTCTTGTTGTTTTTCTATTTATTGAAATCAAGTCAACGACCTAGAAAAAATATCAAATAGAGACAATTTGAACATCGACTTTACATTTTGTCTATCTTGACAGAAGATATACATGCGCAATATATTATTATTATTGTTGTTGTTCACATTGACAAGACAATAACTATAATAAATGAATATATCATTCTATTATCTTCATATATTATTATCATGTATGTTCAATTTATTTTAATGAGAAATATATTTCTTGATACTAAACATAGATAGTATTGATTTATCAATAACAATGAATTTTAATATAATTTCTCTTATTTTATTCATCATTTTTATTCAACAATCATTAACACAAGTACCACCAGTTGTACCATTGACAAGTAAATTGAAAATTCTTTTCTTTTTTTTTTTTATTTAATAAGAAAATTTTATTTTTTATATTTTATCCAGATGCTTTAACAGCTGTCTATTGTCATAATTCAGATGAACCTGGTATAATGACAATACGTTGTGGACCAAATGAAAAAATTCGAATGTTAGATGCATTTGATGCTACAGTTAAACATAGATCACGTTTACCAATACAATGTTTAAAACAAAAACAACAATATTCAAAAGAATTAAATGAAAATTCTAATAGTGTTGATTGTAAAATTCATACAAGTTTTACATCGGCTTGTTCAGGACGTGAAAATTGTACATTACATATGCAACGTATACGTTTAAATAGTGTTCAAGATAATTGTCATAATGAATTAGTTGATTATACAATGGCATTTTTTGAATGTATATCAGGTATGGAAAAAACAAAAAAATATTGAAACAGATTCAAATGAAATATGGATTAAATAAGAAAGATATTTCATAGCACGTTCAAATCAAAAACAAAAAAATTTACGAGTAAAAAAAAAACCTGAGGAGATTAGACGAGAGAGCAATTAAACACTAGTGAGATTAGATTACAACATCTTTCTACTATGTGACGAAGTAATAATAATCGAACATTGCATAATTGATCTCATGACAATTGAGGAAGAGCAAAGATAGAATGAAATAAAAATAATACACTAAAATAAGTTATTTTTTTTTGCATATAGATGTATTTATTCATGATGTTTGTTCATCACAAGCAATAACATCTGCTTGGGGTACATTACAAACACCAAATTTTCCAAATCCATATACATCAAGTGATGATTGTTGGTGTAAATTATCAACACAATTACAACATCGTCTATTACTTTCTATTATTGTCTTTCAATTAATTCCTTATGATAGTTCGTATTGAATTGATAAACAAAACAAAAAAAAAAAGAGAATTTCTTTTTTTTTATCATTTATAGAACATTGTGCTGGTGCTGGTCTTTATTTACAAAGTAGTAATGAACAACGAAGTACTCAATGTACTTATTTACAACAAGGACATAATTATTTAAGTGATACAAATTCATTATATATTAATTTTTATAGTCGAACACCGACTGTACGTGGAGGATTTTGGATTATTTATGAAGGTTGGAATTTTATCATTCGTTTTTGGTTAAATAATCGAACATTTTTTTTTTTTATTTATTAAAGCGAGTCATCCTAATGCAGAAGTTCATTTACATTGTGGATCACATGATAAAATTGGTGTACCATCATCATCAAATTCACAATTATCACCTTCAATTTCAACTCCATTTGATCATGGTTGGAGTCGTTTAGCATTTAATAATCCACCAAATCCAACAACACCAATCAATGATCATATGATGCGTATGCGTATGCGTTTCACTTCTACCACGCCTTACTCATCTATTAATACAAACTATAGTAAGTATATCAAAAAATTCTAATCTATAATGAAGGTAAACATACATATATAGATATGTATATATACATATTGTCACCTCGACTTATGTCATAGAATGACCTTACCTTTTGTGGCGTCATGATAATCTTTCGAGTACACATTTGTCCTCACATTCTTGTCAATTCTTTTTTTTTTCGAATGAATAGAATAGAGGTGTGGCATGTGAAAAAGATATCAAGATTAAATGTTAGTGTGTTAAGAAAATAAAGAGGAAAAAAAATATGTTAAACAAGTGTGAATAATATACATTTTGATTTTTCGTAGAAATAAATACTTCAACAGCTGTTGGAGCTTTTACATATCCACATGGAGCATTAACAACATTTGAATTAGCTTATGGACCAAGTGGATGGTATTTAAAACATCCAATTGATGCATTGAATAAAACATTAAATAAATTTGTACGAACAACAACAGTAACACCTACATTATCAATTTCAAAATGGAATTTTACTTGGTATTATACTCGACCAAGACGAATAAAATTAGTTACAACTAAAAGGACTTCAACAACAACAGGTAAATAAAACAAGAAAATGTTATGATCATGATAAATTTCTTTTAAAAAAAATGATACTGAATATTTCATTTTTTAGAATCAACGACTACTACTAAACAAACTACTCTTGTTTTTTCAACAACAACAAAAACAACAACAACAACAACAACAACAACAACAACAATATCGACTTCTACGTCAACAACTCAAACAGCTACTGCTCATCAACGTTTATTATTTACTCATCAACCATGGGTATTTTATAGTTCTAGTAGTTCTCAATCATTTACACCAACAACAAAAACAACAACAATCAAGTCTACAATTCAATCTTCTACATCTTCATCAACATTATCTTCTATGATTATTAAATCTACATTACCATTACCAACTCCTTGGTATTCACCAGCTGGTCCTTTTGATTGGTGGCAATGGCAATGGTATACAAAAAAAAGCAAAACATCATCAATAAATTTTCATTATACTACACAAACTATAACAACATCTACACAAATAACTAGCACAACTCGAAAAATATCTCCTACTACTAGTACTATTGTCATCACGACTACTACCACTCCTAGCACTACTGTCACTACTGCTAGTACTCTGATGACTACAATAAGTACAACACGTTTGACAGAGTCACCAAGTACAACTCGTTTGACGAAACCACCAAGTACAACTCGTTTGACCGAGCCTCCAAGTACAACACGTTTGACAGAACCACCAAGTACAACTCGTTTAACGAAGTTACCAAATATGATAACTACAAGTAGTAAATATGAACCAACTGCTGATTGGCTTCAATGGCCTTATAAAGAAATTGATACAAATAAAAAAGATCCATCAGATGATGATTTCGAAGATGAATATCAAGATTGGCTTGATTATTTTACTGCTAGTAAAAATCAAGGAATAATAACATCAACAGTAACACCGAGTACTTTAATATCAATTTCATCTGAACAACCATATCCATACTTAGATCATATTCCAACAAAATCTAAATGGAAAGTTATAACTATTAATACACCACCAGCAAAACGTCATCATTCACAACCAAATCCTGGTGTTAATGAACGAAATGCTCTTGGAATTCAATCTAATGGTAAGAAAAATTTTACATCATTAAAAGAAGTCATATTACAGATGTGAATGAAGAGAAGAAATTTAAACAAAATGTGTTTTCATTTCAGGAAAAAAAACACGACGATTTATTTGATTAAACAATCCTATTTACATTTTGATTGAGGCGTAGTTTTTTTTTTCTATCTATTTGTTGATTTAAGTCTTATATGAATAGTTATGACGTATTATATGTTCATATCCTTCATTGATTATGAGATATCTACATCGACGTCCATTTTGTCCTATATGTAATTGTTCATCGAATATGCCGAGTAGAAAAAAATAAATAATTTTTTTTTTGGTTTCCTATAAAATTAAAATTTCAATTTTTAGAACAAACATCACCTTCGAATGTTCATAATATGATTCGACGTGTTATTGAACAACGAAATAAAAAAAATTCTACAGATTATGGATGGTTAAGTAAAACAGATATGACAATTGTTGCTGTATCAATTCTATTTGTTATTCTATTGGCAATTATTAATTTAATTCTTTTTGCTGTTCGAAGGTAAATAGAAAATTTATAAAACTCAACAAAAAAAAATTTTTTTTTGTTTTGTTTTGTAGACATCGTCATCGAATACAAGGTCGACATTTACTTAGTACTTCAATTTCATCGACATTAGATAATCGAAGACTTGGAGGAGGAGGAGGAGGAGGAGGAAGTGGACATTTACATAGTCAAACATTTACTGATACAACAAATGGTTTAATTAATACAACTAATAATACTAATAATAATAATGATATATTACCAGCTGTTGGTTAGTTTTGCAAAAGCAAAAAAGAAAACGTCATTGTTTTTATATTTTTATTATATTTATAGGTGAAATTGTTATATGGGATGAAAAAGATCAAGGTGGCTATATGATTGATAATAATGGAACATGGGCTAAAATTGAAGGACGTCAATGGTTTGGTAGTCATATATTTAAAAATTGTAGTAAAACACCACTTGCAAAAAGGTTATTTATTATTTCTTTAGTCATAAGTGACACAATTGATGACCTATGTTCATTAATACATTTCGTTTTTGTAAATAAAAACTACGTGCTTTTTGACGAAGAGTATTAGTTTACATTCAAAAGTGATGTATGATAAAATTTATACGAAGAAAAATCTTCTAATTGATTAATCGCTTTTGACTTAAGATTATGCACATCATATAAACCCTAATGAATTATAAATATCTTGAAAAGAATTCGTGCGTTTAACTTATCGCTGCTGAAATACTGCGTTTTCCCACGGTCCTCCCTCTGATACTCTTGAGAAAACTGATTTTCAAATTTTGACTACAATTTACATTTGTTTTTATCCTGAAAACAAAAACATTGAGAACATTTGTAGTTTTCACAATAAATCCTTCGGTTTAAAAGCTATCCTTTGTGCAATAGTTTAAGTTGGAATTTGAAAATAAATTTTCCGTGCGAATTCTTTTTATAAAACTTTTTTTCCTACAAAAAAAATTGAGTACCAAATTTCGAAAAACTGATTTTCGACGCCGATTTACTTTTGTTAACCTTTATGAAAAATCGTTATTCTCTCAAAAATTCTTTCCTTCATGAAAATCAGCTTGGACCTGTTATCGTTGCATTTCCCTATTAATAGCTAATGGAATTTTCTCTTGTTAAGATCTCACATGGATGAAATATGATGGTAGGATTTCTAAAAAAAAACCAGGACGCGGTAATTGAAGTTACTTTTTTTTTAACTGTATCATTTTAAAGAACATAAAATGAGAGATCACTGCATTTTCTAACAATGCTATGATAAATTTCACTTTGTAATACTTATAACTTTTTAATGAAAGGTCGGTCTTACATGATGAGCATAGCCGCGAGTCAAAAGTTCTGTAATAGACAAACTTTTGAAGTATAGCTCTGAGTGAAAGACTAAACTTGTGTCAGTCATTTTTACCGTTCTATCTTCGATAATTCGATTAATATTTTTATTTTTTTGTTCTTATGAAAAATCTTAATTAGAATTTTTTTTTCTGTTATAGTTTTCGATCACGTTTTCGTTTTATGCGTCATTTGGATAAAAAAGGTAATCATCATCATCATCATCATCCTCAACCACCAATAACACCAAAAACACATCAAATACAACAGCAAACATTTAAATTTCCTCTTCTTATGGATAGTTCGTATTTCTAAAATAAAAAACAAAAAGAAACTTTACGAAATTATTTTATTTTTAGCTGCTACTCTTTCACCAGTACCTGAAGCAGATGATTATGAATCATCTGAATTAAGTCTATCTGATATTATTATTCGAAGTTCAGCAACAACACTCAATCATTCAAATAGACGACCGCACCACCACCAACATCAACCATTAATGAAATCTGAACGTAAACATGATTTATCATTATATGGTCAACAACAAGTAAATGATAATTTCCATAAAATTCTATTTAAATTATTTTTGTTTTTTGAATTTTAGACAACAAAAACTATTCAAGCATTAATTCATACTGAACAACAACAAAATGATGATGATTATTATAAACGAATTGGAAATAATGGTGATAATTCAAATTATACTGGAATGTCCGAAAATGCATTGAGAGATTCATCTATAACTGATCAAGAAACTGATCGAAGTTTAGGTAATGAAATTGATGCTGGCGGACCAGTTGTTGTTAGTGTACCAACTATGATTCGACGAGATGATGATACTGGTACAATAACAGATGGTGCTGAATCAATTTATAATCCACATTATTCAATTCAATCAGTTAATGAAGTATAAAAACAAAAAAAACAAAAATGAAAATAAATATTTTTTTTCTTTTCTTAGTATTCTCATCGAAATTATATTCAATCAAATACTAATACAGGTCCATTTTCAACAAAACCATCTATTAGTACATTTAAACCAACAACAAATAATTCTGTTATAATTGGTTATTGTCAAAATGATTTTCAATCACTTGATCCAAAATTATTATTTAAAACAAATGATAAAACATCATTAATTGAACATCAACCATTTTATCGTTGTACACAATCAGTACAATTATCAACATATGATTCAGGTTTTGTTGATGAACAAACAGTTGGAAGTTTAACAGCAATTAATAATATAAATGAATTTGAAAATAATTTAATTAATAAAGATAAAAATGAACATATGAGTATGGATGATATTTTATTAACAAAAAGTGAAGAAGATGATGATGATGATAATGATGATGATGGTGATTTACAATTAAATGATTTAATAACAGATGAATTAAGAAATTCAAATCAACAAAAATGGAAAAATATTTCTAAACATGTTTCATTTCAAGGTTAGATATTTGAATAACAGACCTCAAAACAGGCTACCCGACTCGACGATTTTATCGTTTTTTTGATATAACTTTTTCTGAGATTTGACTCATCCTTGAGGGAAATAGGGGAAAGCTTCTCCACGCTACCTCCTGTTGGTCATCATTTTGTATAAAAACTGAAAAATATGGAATAGCTGTCTATTGAGAAAAAAATCTTTGTAAAGGAAGTTTCTTTCGGATCCGATTTCGAGACCTGTTGAGTAATTTATTGAATCGTTGAAAAAAAGCTTGTCAGCACTAAGAAGCTGTGGGTCTACGTTTTCGTAGCTCGAACCCCGCTGGATCCAAATCCAGAGTTTTTTTCCATCAATATCTGACACCCTTCGTATACATGAACAAGTAAAGAATCAAAGTTTTAGCTATTTATTCGCTATTCTCAGAAAAAAACTCAACTTACAATTATATCTTATTGCTGTATTTCTCATCTGGGAAGCAGTAGGTCCACAAAAATGTGTAATCAGCCCCGACAAAAAATAAAAGGTTGGATCCAGACTCGAGAAAAAAAATAAAACTTTCGATCCGGTTGGGTCTGAGTCTGGAAGAACTCACAGCTCCTCCGCGATTAAAATATTAAACTCATATGTCCTTTAGTCTCATTATCCTAATACAAAATACGTTAAGGGAGCTTCCCCCTTTCCGCATGTTAAAATCAAAAATTTTTTCAATTTTTAGTTTATCATCACTGATATTTGTTCTTTGTATGCAAAATTCTCCTAATGATAATTTTTAAAGGTGGTTATGGATCACTAACACTATCAGTTTTTCAATCACTTGGAGAAATAAGTGCAGAATCGCCCCAGGTTTCTTTCACATAGTATGTTCGATCAAGCTGAAACTTTTTTAAATGGATATTGGACACTGTTCGAGGTACATGCATTGTTGATTTTTTAACAGCTTTTACAAAAAGCTCTAGTAAAAAAAAACAGTAACATGTATTTTAATCAAACAGTGTCTAGTATTTGTAAAAATAATTCTAGTTCTATAGGACTTACTGTCGCTAATTTCGAGCCATAGATGTCCATCGTGACTAGGAGTCTACCGGTGCTACCCCCATGGACATTTCTATTTCGAGTAGAATTCTTAATGTGATATTACCATTGATTTAACTCGCAAATAAACCTGTTAATCTATATCAAATCTCAATGCACTATTATATATTTCGATAAGCTTAGAAATACTGATATTGATTATTTCTCAATGTTATAACTCGATCAATTCACACTTGGTTTAGAACATTCATAAACGCGTTGTAGCCATTCAAATTATAAGTAGAGCTTTAGAATCTTTTAGAATAGATTAAGTCCTATCCGATAAGGAACTCTGAGAAAGGAGCAAATATACCCGATGATCTTTCCCCTGTTGGTATGAGGAGGAGCCACAACAATATAATCTTCGGTATTATTCTATATGAAAAAAAATGTTTCTAACAGATACTAAGTAAACTAGTAGATCGAGTGATTCATCATTGAGCTTGACTAATCCAACCTTTAGTTCACATATAAGGAAGTGTTACTTTTGCTTGATATTTATTCAAAAGACAAACTTCTTTTTTTTATATTTTAATTCTATAGAAGAACATATTACTCAACGTTTTTCTCCACCATTACCACCATTATCATCATCATTTAATACAACAGCAAATCCAGAAACATTATCAAATCCATTTGATACTTATGATGTTTCACCTGATATAATTCAATCAGTACCAATTCCACCACCATTACTTAAATCTTTCTTACCTCCAACAACAACTTTAAATGATAATTCACTAACAACAAGTAGTGTATTTACTGTTCAAAAACAAATAACATCTATTGATAATGAAGATGATAATACAGAAAGTATAATAATGAATCATTTACATTCAGTAAAATCATTAAAAAAATTTTTTGAAACAAAAATGGTTATACAACAACCAATATCAACTTTACAAACAATAACTTGTTCTCAATCAATAACAACAATTAATGAACAAAAATTTGATCGTTCATCAATAACAAAAGAACAAAAATCAATAGATGAATCTGATCAACGACAAGAAATGATGAATAAAGTATTGGAAAGTTTAAAAAAGAAAAAACTTTATTCAAGAACAACAAATGGTAAATTTTTATACATAGAATATAAATATTGAAATAATATGATTTATTTATTTTTGTTTAGATACTCCTGAACCTAGTGGTCGATGTTCAGCAATGACTACATCATCATATGATTCAAATATAACTCAAAATTTAGCTGTACAACGTCATTATTCTCGACGTTTTCGTTCATCTTCAACAAGTAATAATTCACTTTATCCTGGTGGTAATATAATAATACATATAAATCCTACAAATTCTTATCATAATAAACGTGCTTTTTCACAAGATCGTCAACATTATCATACAACAGATCATCATTTAAGTAATATTGAAAAATGGAAACAAGAACAACAACGACAAATTGAATCTGATGATGAAGATAATATATCAGAAAATTCTATGTTATGGCAAGCACGTACAAAATTAAATGAATTTGTAACTCGTACAAGAAAAACTCAACAACAACAATCACCATATTATACAACATGTACTAATGGTGGAACACCATCTGAAGACATATATATGTATGATGATAATGAAAGTGTTACAGCAGAAACACGTTTTTAGAAAATTAAACTTGACATGTATTTTTTGTTTGCGCCTTTGTTTTAATCTTTTTTTTTTTTCTTCTTGTTTATATTTGACCAAAAAAAAAACAACAACAACAACAATAATAATAATCGACAATTAAAATTTTTTTTTTTTTCGTTTGTTTTATTTCATATTATGATTTGTTTTGTTGATTTATAATATAAACCTTATAAAATGATCTATAGAAAACAAAAACTTTTAATTTATAATTAAGATTGATATTTGATTTTGATATCAAAAATGATTTATTATATATTATGTTTAATAAAATTGACAATCAGTAACAATATCATAAGGAATCTCAAATATATCGTTCATTGGTCAATAATGTTCTACATTGTAATCATAGAACCAAGCCATTTTCTATTATTTGATCTTTTTTTTTTTAAAAATAACTTGATCTATGACAAGCTTTTTTTGAGAACAATACAATATATTGTATAATTGTTTTCCAGTGAACACAAATATATATACGAAATCATAACATTTACTATTCGACGAAACAAATTTTAATAACTATTTAATTCAAAGAATTGAATTTCTTTTTTTTTTTTTCAAAATGATTCACTATTCAAATGTCACTTGAATAGCTACTTTTCTATTACTAAGACATCTTTATTTTACTTTAAAGAATATATATATGAACATTATGATAGTCAAGCACATGACCAAGCAAGATTTTTTGATGTTTTAATTACAGTTTTTAATTCTTGATCAATTATCGATTGTTTAAGACCTGATTTAAGTCGATGTTCACATAGATAAAGAAGTATATTCGATGGTATCCATACAGGTTGACCAATTTGAAAATCATGCATTTTAAGAATAGCTAATGCTGAAAGAAGTGCTTCATCATCAAATCCATTGGATTCATCCAATTGAAAATGTACTTGACAGAGAGATATTGATGTTTTGTCACCATCAATCTTGTTCACTATAGCTAAAATTTGAGAAGAAAAAAAACAAACGAATCCTTCATAACTTAGATCGATAACATTATTGATATTAACTCAATTTTAAAATTTTATTCAAAAAAATTGATATGATGAAGTTTCATATTCAATATTTTTCTTTAAATGTATAGAAAAACAAAAACATACACATACTTAAAGTTGTGTATTTTGTTAATTTCAACTAAAATGTTTTTTTTCGTTATTTTGTCAATAGTACTTAAACACTTACAGACAAATTCACGTTCTTTTCAGAGCAAAATCAATGTTAGTTTTTAACAGAGACACTCCGAGGTCATTATGATTGCTAATTCAAAAGACCAATTGGTCAGATTTATCAGAGGGAGGAGAGAATTGATGAACAAAAAAATCTCCATTGTATAAAAATTTTACAAGATTGGAAAATCATCCCTAGTTTTTTAACCAGAAGAATAAAAAAAATAAATTTAGCGGAATTTATATGAAAAAAATACTTACTACTTCTTACCAAATACAGTGCAAGAAGAATCACAACTACAGTGATACTTATTGCATAGTTTGATGGTTGTTGCATTTTATTCGTCTCCAACTTGTTATTTTATAAATGAAATTGACAATCAATCATGTTTGAAAATGAAAAATGAATCTGTATTGTCGTGATATAATCAGAACTATTTTGTCGTTTATTTTTTTTATTTTTACTTACGAACGTTTTGTTTTGTGCATAAACAAGTTTGTTCTTTTTCATTTCTTTTTTTTTTTTTTTTTATATATAATGTTGTCCATTCATTATTTCATTGCTCGATTTTACGGTATATGTTTATGCAATGTTAATGACTATTCTTTTTTAAGTAACTATCAAAATATCTATTTTTGTCATTTACATATCATAATTAATTGACAAAACGACGATAACAAGGCCATTTTATATTACAAAAAAAAGACTTTTTACGGATGATTAAACATTATGTTGCTCGATGTAATTTGACAATTTGTTTTAGTATCTTACATAATGAAAAAAAACTATTGATCAAGTTACTATTGATATAGTTAATATTGATTTTAGTATCGATTAGTTAGTTTTGATATAGTCTCTTTGACTTTCTATTGTCGTAAGTCAATCAATCTTGTATTTAAGAGTAAAATTTGAGACTAAAAAATTTACTATGATATCTAATGAAAAGTAATAAAAAGTTTTTTTCTATAATTGTTTCTTTCACAATCACTTTTAGTAAGTAAAACTAGAGAGAGAGAAGCTAAGGCTAAGACATCAAGTGAATCCTAAATTTGAGATGATCTCGGTTTTTTTTTTTTGTTGGAAGAAACTAAATAGTATACTTCGTCATATAAAATTTTGCAAAACCGTACTGTGACTGTAAAAGTATCTGCCGAACATCGATTAGTTCCAGTCCAATTACGAAAAGTCGTACTTATGCAATACATTATTCTCATATTTATGAATGTATTGTTTCTCGGTTTTTCACAATGCTTATGCAATTCTATTCATGCCTCATGGATGAACGGGATTTCAAGATTTACTTCGAAAATATTTCAACAAGTTTCTAAATCAATCTACTGTAACTTAAAATTTGATCCAAGCAGTTTGATTCCAATGACCATGTCAATAGTATTCCTTTGCAATATTCGAATTCAATATCTATTAAGTTGCCGAAGATTTTTTTAAGAAGTATTTTTACAAAAAATTCTATTTATCATTATTTCGACTGCGACAAGCACAGTTTGATACACTATGATGAACACTTACTATTGGTATATAATATTTAAAATTTCATTTATCTGGAAAATCTCTGATAGTTTTTCAAGATTTTAGAAGTTTCACAGCCTTTAAAAATAAAAAAATTTCCTGAGTTTACTTTTATGGGTACAACATTTGCGGATCGTTTCAAAGAGATCCATCCACCCTTAGACAAGTCTTCTGAGAAATGGATAGAGTAGAGTCCATCAGATCCGAACCAGATTTGTCAGATGAAAATCTTGTTTAATATTTCTCGTTTGAAATCAACAGATGGTTTTTTAGCTAGTACTTAGCAATGAATTTTTACAAGAAAAAATGAATAATTCTGAAAGTGTATAACTACGTTAAATTCAAGAGAAAACAAATAGTCCCTATACTAAATTATAGAATGAGCAGTTCCTTAAAAAAAATCGTGTATTACTCAATTTTCCATTGAAAAGTTATGAAAATTTTATAGAAACTTCTATTTGTTGACAATTCAACTTTTTCACATTTTCAATAAGTTACACATATATAATACAAAGCCGTGAAAAGAACAGATTTGTAGACATTTCTTTGAGCTATAGTCTAAATATAATAGTAAAAACTCATTCAGACTTTTTTCGAGTACAGGACACTGTCCAAAAAGTGGATTTTCGCTTGTAGAAAAAAATCCCCAAAATCAGAAAATCGATTGTGTTAGTGGGGGAGGAGGGAGTGACTGCAACGTGGATGAGAAAGAAAGAGAAAAATATCTATCAAATATTGTTTTGATCGCATGATTAAACACACAAATTTAAAACATATTTTTCCCATGATAAAATCGTCATACATTAGGGCGCCTTACTTCTTCTGTTGTCATGTGCTATTTTTTTAATAACTCTTGTTCCCCGTTGACATCATATAGAATAGCTCTCCTTCCCCATATGTAAGATACGATTGTATTTTTTTGTTTGTTTTGTATACATAAATCGAAATATTTATTGAGTAAATAGATGAACACAACACAAGAAAACGAAACAAAGAAAGAAGAAAAAGCATTTCTATATATATATATATAATATATGGATAAGAAATAAAGAACGATAGTGATAATGATAATAATAGTTAACATACAAAGAAGAATATTTTCTTTAATTTGATTTTGTTAAATCAATTTGAAGTAAATCAACAAATAATTGTTTAAATTGTTGTATACGATATGTTAAATTTTCTAATTCTGATTTTAATTCATTATTTGTATTTTTTAATATTAATTGTCGATCAAGTAATTGATTACGTTCAGATTTTTTTCTAATTCGATATTTTTCTGCTGCTGTTTTATTTTGATTTTTTTTTCGTAATCTACGTTCAAGAGGTGATAATTTTGATTTTTTTGTTGATGGTATTGGTGATAAATCTGTTGATGATAGAGATGGTGATGATGGTACAATCATATCTTTATTAATTGTATATTCTATTGATGATGAATCATCAATAGTTGATGATGGTGATGAATTATTTGTATCCATGGGAGGTGATGGAAAAGATGATTGACTTATCCATTTTTCAATATCAATTTCATCTATTGAGATTGAATCAGCAAAAAAATCTATTCAAGAGAGAAAACAAAAAAAAAAGAAGAACAATATTTATTAATTAGATTAAAAATTTTCTTTTTATTTTACCTGATTTTTCGTCGAAATCATTGAAATTAACAAGATCAAAATCTGAGAAAAATTCTTCTTGAGGTTGACTATTATCATTATTAAGACTATCGTCATTTAAATCTTTATGTATAGTTTTTGTTGTTGATTGAATAGAAGATAAATAAACATCGATGTCATCAAGTAAATAAAAATCAAGTGATGTTAAACTAGCATCTAATTTATCGATGCCATCCTCGCCAATGGATGGCGTCAAAAGATCTTGAGAATGATATTGTTCGTATAGCATGGTACTCATCTTTCTTTTTAGATTTTAGAGAAGATAACACGAAAAGAGGTGTGGCAGACGCCATTTTGATTTCCATAATTAAGAACTAAGAAATAAGAAATTAATATTTTTTAAAAAATTCAAATTTATTTTTTATTTTCCTACTTTGTTGTGTGATGTGCACCGTCAAAAGTGTGCTGGCTAGCCGAAGCTAAAACGCGTACAAAGATCGCGAACTTGCTAAACTAGGAACATGATGAAATCTGTCAAAAAAATAAAACAAAAATATTATGATGAAATTGTTCGTTATAATACGTAGTATTTCCTCTGTTTCCAACAAATAAAAAAAGTATGATGCAATGTTTATCCTGATTCACGTATGAGACATGAATGAGAAAGATTTTTAGTTTTTTCCCTTTAATTATTCAATTTTTATTAAAAAAAAATTTCTTATTGATAACATAAAATAAATGAAGAATATATAAAAATTATTGAAAAAACAACTATAATTTCATAATGAAAATTAAGGAAGAAAGATGTCGCCACATATTCGTAGTTTAGAAATTCATGTGCGTCATTAGTTGATTCTATGGTTTTGTGAGTGAATTCAATTTATTCGTATATAACACTTAACACGATACATAGAAGAAAGAAAGAGAAACAAAACTGTAAAGGAGGGCAAACGAAACATGCATATGTATGTACATAATATGTGTAAGCATGTTGGACAAAACCATGTACGACATAAACGAATATATTCAAAAAATCCAATATGCAACATATGATAACACGCTGGGAACAATAAAATATATCATGTTGGAAAAATCTTGAGGAGGAAACAACAGAGAATTCATTGTTGAAGTCTGTTGTTTCTCACTTAGAAAATCTAGTTTACATCAGAATGTCAAAGAATTATTAATAAAGAGCGTGCTATCAATAATGATTCTCTGTCAGCATTCTGAAGTTTCAGAGCTTCTGGAAACAAAAGAATATCGCATTTAACCTTTTACTCCCCCATTGGCAACTGAAATTGCCATTTTTAGAAACATTGCAGAAAATAAAGGAAGCGTCAGATTGAAAAACGAACGATAAGAACGTTTTTTTTTTGTAGTAAACATCATGGACTATCAATTGATAAAAAGAGTATTTTTTTCATTGCTCCGTCTTTGAAATATCGGGCTTTCAAAATCGATAATTTTCAAAAAAATGAAAAAAATTGAAATTTTTCAAATAGAATATTCTATACCTATAGGCAATTGAGATCTTTTGGAATTTCTGTGTGATATTAATTGATGAAGAAGTCCACTAATGAATAAAATATTTTTCAAAAGTTTCATGATAACTTAACGAATTACAATGCTCAGACACACTATTGACCAGATGGAGGGCAATCAAAAACGAAGTTAATATATGCATTATAAACCTCAACTCATGACAAGTTGGAATAGTATTTATTATGAATTAAATTTCTTCTGACATCATAAAATGACTCAGAGCAAAAAAGACTCTCATTTGACAATATGTGTAAAAAACGCATGCATTCTTTGGTATTAATTGTTATCGGTTTCCAACTGTTTCTTTTCCCATTATTTCTAAAGCACGGGATATATACATTGCTTCTGCCCACTCAATAGTGTGATCAAAGAAAAAAACTCAAGTCTCATGATGTTGTTCAATTCCCTTTTTTCACCACATGATCGCTGAATCTATCAAGCCGTCCTACTCTACGACCGGGACATTCGGTGAATCTGACCATATCGTTGGCATATTAGAGAGGCTAATACTTTATTTATAAAGTTGTTTTATCAGTAGCTCTTATGGAACCACTATCGGGGAGGGAGATGGGGTAAAGGGTTAAGTTCGAATTTTTATTATTTTTTGGTGAGAAATAATTATTATATCAGATAGTTTAGCTCAAATTTATTTAGATGTTTGTTTCTTCGATTCAGTTGATGTAAAATGACAAATTTTCGTTATTTTAAATTCTGTCTACATCATAAGACAGAATTGATTTATTCGTATATGTTTAGTATTCTTTGATTGGTTTTTCTTCTTCAATTTCTATACTAAAAATAAAAATATTCGATACACATTTAAAAATACGAAGAGAATCGTTTATTAATGACATTTCACGTACTAGATAATCGACATCAATTTTGATTTATACTTCCACAGGTACTCATATACATATTATTACATCGAATAATTTCTTATTAATTTTATTTATTTGAATGAGAAATAGGTACCTAATAAATTATCAATAGATAAACTTAAATTAAGGAATTTTTCAAGTAAGAATCACAAGAAAAAAAAAAACAAATTGAAACATTTTCTAATATCTATCGAAATGCTTCATATCGAAAAAACAAAAGTTATTCAAAGATTTGTCGAAAGAATCTATACATTTTTCTTTAAAATCAATTATTATCTATTGTTTTTTTTTTAACAAATCCTACAAAATGAAAATTTCAAACAAGTGACTATTATTATGATGCAATTCAATAATATAGTTATAAATTGTTTCTTTTACAAATTATTCAATAAAAGATTTCTAATATTTCTATATCTATTGATTCTTTAATATCAATCTATTGATTATGCAAGCAAATATTTGAAAGATAAAAGTATTTTAGCTTTCTATCGAGATACACTAATGACGAAAGAAGAATTATGAATAACAAAAAAACGAAGAGTCTGGTAATATTAATTCCACTTATGAATTTTCATTGGCTAGTTCAACCTATGTCGATAATGCTATTGGAAAATGCAAAGTTGATCCATGTTTGAAATGACAGGATTTTGCTGATATTCAAAAAAAAGTCAAGAAGTTGTTTTCAGTCTTATTTTTTTAAAATCCATTCTGTTTTACTTCGATGAGACATCTGCTGTCAAACGAAGGATCAAAAAGAAGTTCAAGAATATCGTAGATTAATTACATAAAATTGATCTGGTTTACCGAAGCAAAGGATACTTTGATTTAGTTCTCGATTATGATTTTAAAAAAAACGAATAAAAATAATTCTGAAACTACTCTTAATCATTTCTCTCATGCTCTTGAAATATAGAAATGTGTTTTGCTTGATCCATATCCAAATATGACTTGATATCTTTGTAATATTCGATTTATTTATTAGGAGTAAGGTTTTTTTTCTTTGCATGTTGATTATGATTAGTATCATCAAACTCTGTAATTAATATTTAGTTCAATCTTTAACAATTAGAAAAATATAGATCAGATTGAAACATGTTTCGAGCTTTTTCAAGAAAAACTTTTACAAAGATCTAATAGAATAATGATAGAAAAATTCTATGTGTTGAAGAAAATTCAGATTTTTTATTGATCTGTCATGTAATATGTTGTTTTGTTTTGAAAATGAAATATTCACAAATCGGTCGACCAGAGTATGAGTGCAGTATGCGGATGAGGGCATTTACTTCGTCCATATCTACCCTTCTTGAACAATAATTCAATTATAATTAGTATTTATATTTTAACGACATAAAAGGTTATAAAAAGATGACCATCGAGCCAGGAAGTAAATGGAATGGATAGTAATGAATTGATTTTAGCGCATTCTTATTTATTCGAATTAGTAACTCGATCGAAATGAAGAGCAAAAAGCTTTTGATGAGATGCAATCACATGGAAAGAAAGAAAATGCAACCTTGTATTTTTTTGTTCTGCACTCCTTCCTTTACACATTCTACTTTCCCGTGGCTGCGCATCATACACGTATGAATGAAAAAAATCAGTCTAAATATAATCCTTGTTGATTACGCTCTCTCGTTATATTGGCATTTTCGGACGAAATTATGCCGCGAACGCTACGGACAAGTTTCTTTTCGCAAAACAAACTTTTGTATTTGCCCAAAGACATCAGGCATCCACTTTAATAATGATGTTTTTGTTTTGCTTTTGAAAAAAAAAAGGATTTGTGTCTTGAATATCGCTAGTGATAGTTAGAACAATGTAGTGCTTTGATGCAAAAAAAAACAACAAATACAGGATTCACTCCTATTATACGAGTGTCCATCAACTTATGAAACGAAAAATTTAAATTATGAGCATACTTAAAAAAAATATAAGCGATACTGTTCATCATTTTTCTACTGTATGTTAACATGTACGACTCTAGTTTTATTTGAGTACATATTTATAGTGCAAGAGTTATCTCGTTAACGTTGCGGCGCACATTAGAATTAAGCAGATTTCGAATATGATCAAGCAAAATTGGAGTATTATTTCTCTATGAATCGAAGAAGTTAAGAAAAAAAACGACAAACAATTAGAATGTATTTTACACATATATCTAATGAGATATAATATAAACTAAAAATCACATTAGCCAAGGTCCGAATGAGGATACATTCATAGTGCTAGCTTCATTGGCACACACTCATCCAACGTTCTATGACAATATACAGAGTTTCTAGTCTATTTCTACAGTATGATTTTAAATATCAGTTTTAGACGATCAAAATCTTGAAATACAAGTCGTTTTTTTGTATTGCTTATGTAGAAGTGGCTGTATTCTAAAAATATTAAATTTTTTGTTAACACTAAAGATGTCTGATGACTGATTTGATAATGTTACATTATCACAGCATCCTCAAACAAAAAAAGTTAAATAAGAGAAGGACTAACGGAGAGAGACGGTAAGTTCATAGACAATGTCCAAGCTCGTTTCATCAAAAAATATAGTACACATTTTTTTTAATGAATATAATGTAACTCAACAATTCATTAATCTAGCTAGGTTGACAGTGAAAGTACATTCCCAGTGTCAGTCTCAGCAACATCCTCAGTTAAGATGAGAGAAGAGTTAGCAAAAAACTAGTTCTTCAGTAACTATGACGTGCAATGCATATCTATGGTGGTTAATTACGATGAGAAAAGCTTTTTTTTCGTTGAATTGTTTGTTAAGGGTGCAGCTGTGGATTTGGATCTTCTCTTCATTCACTCCCACACTCACACCGCAATATAGTTTTCTATTAAGTAGTTATACCAAGACCTTCTAAACGGTAAGAGGATCAAAAGTCAAAGTTTTCGTACTTAATATTCGATATCTTAACTGATGTATCATGGCATTTAGAAATAGTGTTTAGTTATTGTATAGTAGTCTAGGACTACTTGGAAAAGATATCTGGAACTGCTGAAAACCTATTTTAATGTGGCATCTGTAATTTTCTGAGGATATTTGGTAGCAACAGAGAAATTTCAAATGTCAAAGCATCAAGAGACTTTAAAGCACTATAAAAATTGCAAAAATTATTATGAAGCTACACTACGGCTCATTAGATTGCAAAAGTCTTCATGAAACTATCATCTGTATATATAATGTTTAGTGTCTGTCTGTGCCGGATCAAAGATCATGAGGCTATAAGGATAAGACTGTGAGGTGGTAAGTCTAAAGGAGATAAGGCTATAAGGAGGTGAGGATACAAGGGCTACACGCGATATAAGGCTATAAGGCTGAAAGACTACACGGGCTACAAAGCTATTAGCGATGTGAGGATATGACGCCATTAGGGCTATCTATATATATAATGGCGGGTGTCTGTATGGGTCTCACCGGATGAAACGTTGAAGGTTTGAGATTATATATTAAAGGAAAAAAACAGCTGTGCAGTATGCACGGATTTCCGCTAGTTCATTATATATTCTTCGATTATCTAATCATTGAATGCAACGTGATTGCAATTTTGTGATCTCATCAAACTATAATAGATAGTAATGTAATGTCACCATGAGTTATAAGAACGTGACAAAATTTGATGACAAATGTCGCCAGTAAACTAACAGAAATCTATTCGATTCGTACGTTGTTGTTATTCTCTTTCTTCCGAGAGCAATTGAGGTTAGCAACATACATACTGTAATGCAGTCCTCTTCCACTTTGACGATTAAAATTCACTGGGAAATATATGAAAGAGGTAGAAAAAAAAAACACAGTGTGCACGTTGATTTCAACAAAAAATCATCGTAGTTTTTTATTTCTGCTTAACTATATATGACAAGTACACACACACCATTTGCATTCTTATAAAACGGGTAAGTAAAGGAATGATTTCAAGCAGCCGTGTCTATAGACTTCCATAGCTCGTGTATGCAAAAATTTTAATGTTAAATTAAGTAATTTGAGATATTGTTAAGCTAGTTAATTCAGTCATCGATTCATATGATGTCGAAAAAAATATGAAAAATTTGGAAAATAAATCTATCAATGAAACATTGAAAACTTGAATCGAAATAACTTGAAATATACTGTTAACAGAGTACAAAAAAGAAAAATATATACTGAGAACGAGAGAGGTACTCTAACTGGGATGTTTAAAGAAAAATTACGCTTCAGTTAAAGTTTTAAATCTATATTCGAATAACTGAGAACGGTCAGTAGTTAAATTTGTTTCTTTCGCATAGATTCTACTTCATAATGACAACAACACTTGTTTGTTCAGCTTGCCAAAAGAATAATACATGGAATAATAATCAATATAAGCAAGGTTTATTTTTCAATTGTGCTTCGTGCTCAGTTCGATTGCAGCAAATATTTTGTCCTCATTGTTCCTCATCTAATATTTGGTCAAATCCTAAGACATCAGTTGAAGGAAGATTAATTAATTGCGCAAAATGCTCAAAATCTTTTCAATTCATATGTTGTCCACATTGTCAAGTGGTCAATATGTGGTCGGCAGCTAATTACGAACAAGGTCTAGTATACAAATGTATTACATGTAAACAACCTTTTCAACATGTTTCCTGTGCATACTGTCATGAGGCGAATGTTTATCCGACGGCAGCATCCATTCAAGGAATACGACTTAAATGTCGTTCATGTGCAAACATGCATCAGTACATTCGATGTCCTCATTGTCAAAAAGGTCAAGTATGGAAAAATTGCAATTATATTGCAGGTAGTGCGGTTCCATGTTGTTCATGCAAACAGAATTTTGCATATATGCGTTGTCCGCACTGTGAAAAAGCCAATTTTTGGAAAAATCCATTAAATACTACACTTTCACTCATATGCTTTCAATGTAAAAAAGATATGAATGCTACGATTAGTATTTCACATTCTTCAGATAAAAAAGAAATTGATGTAACGAAATTGTCAAATCAGATCCAAAGAAGTTTAACTCAATTGGATCTTGGTCGACCAAGAGGACGGCGCTCATCACTTAATCGAAATCCTGATGATGGAACACCACGCCATCAAGCTAGAGCTGTATCTGCTCATCCAAGAAAAGTTTCTTCTTGCTCTTATTTCATTGAGTGCAAAGAATATGTCAAAAATCTCAATTGGTCTATTTCATTCTTTAACAACAAACATGATCGATGTTATTGTCAATCGTGTTATTCACATCATCTGCCTAACACATTACGAGTAGCAGAAGCCGACTATGTAGTACCTCGAGGTTGGACTGGTTTTGGACTTGGAGTAGATCCATTTCGTGATGATGATCTATGGAATACATGGATTGTTGTCTATCATGGTACATCTGACGAGGGAGGGTCACCAACTGATCAATCGCTTTTGAGTCGGAACTATGTGCATCATATAGGTCATAATGAGCTATGAATACCGTGAAAAGAGTTCGGGCGGATAGCTTCTTACTGCTGAGATATAGCATTTTTACTATATTTTTCAGAAAAAGCTGTGGTCCCCCTCAGGAACATCAGAAAAAGTCAGTTTTGAGTTTCCGTCTGAAACTTTGCATGTAGATAGGCCTCAATGAGAATAGTTTATTGTGAATGTCTCAGATTTTTTGGTTGCTCCTAGTCTGAGATAAGAACATCGGATCCGCTGGTGTATATGAGCAATTTTATAACAACTGTATCTTAGGATAGGAACAACAAAAAAAGCTGAAACTTTCGCAATAAAGTATTTTCATCGAGGTCTATATCCATGCAAAGTTTGAAGTCGAAATTCGAAATTCAGTTTTCCAAGTGTTCCTGAGGGGGACCACAGCTCTTTTTTCTTAAACATACAGTAAAAAGGCAGTATCTCAGCAGTAATAAGCTATCCGCCCAATCTCTTTTCACGGTATTCATAGCTCATTAGGACCTATATGATGCACATAGTTCCGGCTCAAAAGCGATTGATCAGTTGGTGACCCTCCCTCGTGAGCTCGCAGCTCAATCAATACTGACACATCGTCAGTTTCTCTTACCTGGTGATCATTTGCTTGATGGATCAAAATTAGCTATTCGAACTGGACATATTCCAGGAAAAATTCATATTTATACATCTCCATCAATCCGTTATGCAAGTCTTCAGGTTTACAGTCCATTAAATTCATTTCAATCACCAAAAACAGGTAAACATTACAATGTACAAATAGTACTTCAATGCAAACAAAAGCCTGGTACATTCCGTGTTCAAGGTGAAACAATCGGATGGGGTGATAAACGTATCTGTAATATCGTTCCAAATGAATCTATAGAACATTTTACAAATCGACGTTCATCCGTTATACCTTATCGTCTACTCATTCGTCTCAAAGATAAAACTTGAAATTATGACAGCTGGGCAACATTATTAATAAATGTGAGCAAAACAAGTATCACTTTTAATAACTCTACTTGATTTTTAACTGACTATTTTTTTTAATCAGGATATAGCATGATGTTTCTTGTCAATAATATTCGAATTATATCATATCTCATTTTTCTTATAGAAGCAATGAGGTTTGTTTTGATATTCAAATAGAGATCGAATGAATACTAGTCGAATATAACTTTTCATTATGTCTTATGCTTTTAACAATGATGCGAATCAATAGATGTCTTCATATATTATAATTATTTCTTCAACTTACAGATTGATATTCGCATGTTAAAGTCGAAATTTCACTTTGAAAGAAATATCATGTGAATATAAGAAATATAAATGTAGAATGAGTTTTATTTTAAAGAAAAAAAAAAAAAGAGAAACAAACAGGAATTTTCAATCATTATATGACCATTATCAACTAATAAACCAAAACTTCATGTTACAACGAAGAATAATAAGACATGAGTATTACATCAAAATGAATATATAAATGGCTGGACAAATAACAACATAAACTAATATATACATACGACACTACAAAAATTTTTTCGTCCGGCTCTCTTAAAAGACATATTTAAGATTATTCACAAAATTTCAGCCTTAGAAGTATTGTCTTTCGTTTTATTTTTGCAGTTCTCTCAGACTAGAGTTAGAACATTTTCTAGATTCATTTTGAATTCTCATGAGAACATTTTCGAAGTATAATTTTACATAGCTAGTAAATTAACTTAATTTACAAGGAAAACCATGCCCATTTAGTATAAGCACGAAGGAACTTAGTGTCTTCATGTCATATACTAATCAATTGATTTCATTAATTTCAACAGAGTAATTTTAGCATCGAAGGTGGAAGTCTGTCAGACTATCCTCTAGCTTCCGTAACCGAAGAAATTTTTAATGCTGTTCCAGCAATAATTGAAGATAATTCTCATTGAACATACGAATGGATAGTGGATATTCTGAGCAATATTTCTACAGTAGTTATTTCAATTAATCTGATCTGTTTAAAGTTTTGTGCTCGATGAGTGTATTATCAGCTTATTAATGACTGAAAGTAGTTCCATGTTCAATTGCACTATCGTTTACCAAAGAAATTTGGAAAAACTAATTTCACCTTGTATTCTACGCTATCAGTAGTGACAGATTATAGTTTTATCATAATGATAAAAATATAACAGAGTAATCAAAAGTTGGAACCTTACAAAATAATTTATGCATACCAAAGGCTCATCGAAACAACAAGATCGACTAATGAATCGTGCTAATTTTTTTTTTACAAAATCTCGTTTAACTAAAACCATCCTATTAGGATCTAGTAAACGGAAGTCAGCCAATTAATAATTGCCTAACATATGTTTTCAAAATTGCATAATAGCTTAATACGAGATCATCCTTTGAAGTCTCAGTTTTCATTATGAAAATGTGGAACCACAAACAATCTGAGTTGAAAAGGAATTTCGAGCAGAAAATCACATTGAATCATATTCAAATTCAACATAATCTTCAGATCTAAACTTGTTTGACTTCCAAAATTTAAATACGAACTACATAGAGTTTAGTTCAATGGCGGCAACACAATGCTAAATGTGTTACAACAAGCCATTATCCACTTCACCAAAGACAATCTCAAAAACTACTTCCATAATTTAGTTTAATCGAATGTATAAGTGCATTGTTGCTGATGGGTAATACCTTGAAACACTATACCAGAACCAGCCTTTGAATATTTGTCTAAAGGGCTGGTGCAAAAAAAAAGCTTTTGTAGTATCCCATGTATTATATTAAGTAGAACAAAATCTTGAGTATTATTTTACATTGGTATCAAAGGCTTTGGAAATAAATTATTTGCTATTATTTTAATTACAATTAATTTATAAGTTTAATTTCAAGTTTATGATGTTATATATAGTTTATATTGTTACTTGTTTCACATTTATCTTACTATTCATGTCTTGTTTTCCTGGTTGTACCATCAAGTTTCTCGTTTATTGGTTGATAATGGTCGTATAATAACTGAAAATTTTCGTTTGTTTCTCATTCTTTTTTCTTTGAAATAAAACTCATTCTACATTCATATTTTTTTTATACTTGTTATAAATTAAATCTCAAGATACATATTCACTTTTCTGATATATTAATATCATGTAAATATTAATATGAAAATTTTACAATTAGTGAATGCAATGATTGTATTTCATATTAAATATTCAAGAAGTGATGTGAATAATAGTTTATACTATAAATATAACATATATCGTTCAAAGATTATTTTAAGGATACCTCCTTCCCTTTCCAAATGTGAAAATTAAAATTTCTTCGATTTTTTTGTTTTTGTCGTTAATATTTTTGAAGTGTTCTCTATGGACTTTTGACAGCGTTTTAGACTTCGAAGAGAACGAGTTACGAGACTTTTCTGTTTCAAAAAAACTTCGATTAGAGTCGTATGTCGAGATACGTGAGACATCCATTCGACTTCAATTCGAGATAGCTGATCGAGTTTATTCAAGATGCGAGCGACATGATAGTAGCTTTCCACCTTCTTTCATCTTTTCTTCTCCATCCGTCCAAAATAGGAGGAGATAAATTTCAATCAATATCCTGGTTTTCTTTGATTTCGAGTCTCTCGTATATATAAATAAAGCACTTTTCAGATGTAGAAAACCAACTCATCGAATGTACATTATTTGAAAACCTATAAAACTTAGAATAGAAAGAGAAAAAAAGATGAGTATTCAGAAGAAAATCAAAATTTTATTTTATTTTGCATTTTTTTACCAACTCAAATCGTATACAAAAAAGTACTATGCCACTTTCAGAGGAATCGAGCTGACACATTTTTCTTACACATACTAGTCATTATTTGGCGTGGGTATCTTTTGTTTTTTGCTTCAACAAATATTCCTCTAGTGATTTTTAGCAGCTTTCACAAAATTTTTTCTAGTAGAAAAATTACAACGTTTCTTACGGTTCATCCAGCAATTCAACTCTTTTGTTGAAAGAACAAATAATATAAGAAAACAAAAAACACAATACTCATCCTAAATAATGTCCGATACTTGTAAAAAAAAGTATTCAACTCGATCAAAATTTATTATCTCATGAGAAGACAACACAAATGAAAGTTATTATAGTCGCTAAAAAATTTGAATGAATTTCTTTTCTAAACAAAATATAGTTTGAAAAAAAAAGAAAGATAAATCGTCTAATATTCTTTAATCAAAAATGAAATTAAAAATCATTCAAAACTTATAGAAATATTCTACGTCGAGATAAGAAATTTTAAAATTTACCGAAGTGTAATTCTATGTATTTGAAAAAATTAAATATATATTTTCTTATTGTACACACATACACACACACTACTTTATAAAACTTTACATGAAAAATGTTCAAAGCAGAAAACAAATCATATTTGGTTAAAAGACACATCAATCCAAATAGATATGACACAGACAAAAAGAAAATTGACATATAAAATCAAATGTCAAAAGAACACTGAGCAAAAACCAAAAACAAAAAAGACTTTGTCAAATTTTATTCATATATATATATATATATATTATTTATGCTTGACGATGTAAATTCAGACTTGTAGAAGAAAACCTATGAGTATTACGATTGGTAGCTATTGTTAATTTGCTATCATTTAAAAAATGTTGACCGATAACATTAGTCGCATCTGATGAAGATTGATAGGCAGCAGCAGCAGCAGCCGCAGCAGCAAATAAATGTGGTTGTCGTTCTATCCATCGTTGTAATGTATTACCAGAAAATAATTCAAGACCAAGACATGCTTGTCGTTTCCATTTAGTTCTATAAACAAAACCGAAAAAAATGATTAAAAAAAAAACTTCATATAATTAATTACCTTCGATTTTGATACCATGTTTTAACTTGTGTATCAGATAAATGAAGACGATTAGCAAGTTCTAAACGTTCTTGTACACTTAAATATTTTTGTCGTTCAAAAGTTTTTTCTAATGTATTTAATTGAGCATCTGTAAAAGCTGTACGTGGTTTACGTTGTTTTTTATTTTGTCGTAAATTAATTGCCGTCAAACAAGAACTTGATGCACACAATTCATCATCTATTTAAGATAAAAAATAAATAAATAAATAAAATCTCATTTAGATATTATGCGAACTTCCTATCTACAAATAAAAATTTTCCTTTTTTTTCAGCCTATAAGTAAATTTCAAATAAACAAAATACTCACAAATATTTACTAATCAATTGGTCAAATCGATCTAATTGTCACATTCGCTATTCCTGTCGTCACGCTTCGTTTTACGACTACACGTTCTCGGAATCGAATGTGAACAATAGACGCACCCTTGTAAACTATCTCTATTACTCATTTTGCTTAACTCAATTCGTTGGTAAACAAGGGCCAGATTCAGAAAAAATTAACCACTCAACTCTCAGACATCGTTCGCCTTCATATTATGTAGGTCTTGGTGAGAATAAAAGGATTCGAACCTATGCCCTATCAATGAAAAGTTACAGCCTTTTAGATGAAATTTTTTCTGAGAGTAAAGCACGTTTGAAAAATTCAAAACAATGAGTTTCAATCTGGAAATTTTGCCCATAGGCATGGTTTGATAATCCTAAAAATTTCAACAGAAACGAACATTCGATTTCGAAGTAGATTCAATTGTTATGTTCTAATATCTCGAGAAAGACATGTTCGTTTTTGTTGACACTTTCAGGTTGTAATTCTTTATTTTAGTTTAATAGATATGTTTTTGTAACTTACCACTATTGTTATCAATGTTGTTGCTATTATTACTTAAACGAGATTCTTCTTCTTCTTCTTCAGTTGTATTATCATCTCTCATCATATCAATTATTTGAGAATAATTTGATTCGTCATTGTCATCTTCTTTTTTATTATTATTTTTTTCATAATTATGAAATCGAAATTTTTTCTTTGATTTTTGTTCATGTTCATTTCTATTACCATCTTCTAAATTTATTGATTGTTTACGTTTTAAATCATTATTTTCATTTGAACAATGAATATTTTTCTTAATTGGCATTACCATATGTAAGATATCATCGACAAAAAATGAACGTCGTTGTTTTGTCATTGTTACCTTCGTTTTTTTCTTAAATATTGTTTTGTTTTATTTTCTTAATGGAAAGTGAGTTGGTCAATCAAATAGAATATTTTAAAGAAAAATGAATTTACAACATAACATTGTCTTTTTTTTCTTCTTACTCCTTCTATTATTGTTCTTTTTTTTTTCTCCTACTATGACAAGTGGGATTTCTTTCATTTGCAACGACATACAAAAAAAAAAAAAAAAAAAAGAGAAAGAGCAGATAATTGACATTTTACGCACATTCTCTCCTTTTCTCCTTCATCAAACACACACATATATATATTCACTCGATTGGTGTAAAAAAATATAGAGCAAAACGATTGGCAGTTTAAATTTAGTAACATGAAAAAAGAAAAAAATTAAAATTCAATTCCTTTAAAAATTACGTTTTCTTTTTTCGTCTTTCTCTTCTCTAAATTAATGATCGTGTGACAAAATTGTATACATATATATATATATATATGTATATCATCTCATAAATATAAATTGATTGATCAGTCAATCAATACTTGTTCTTCTTTAACGCTCATTCTCTCTCTTGTTCTCTTCATTACATATGTTTATGATATGCAAATCAGAAAAATCAACGTTACATCTCTTATGTGTTGTTTCTTTTTTTTTGAAAGAAAATAATTTTCTCATCATTATGTTCTTTACACAACGTAGTGTATGCACACACACCACAATACATACATATCGGATTGACACTTTGAAGGTGCTTGTTTTAAATAATCATAATAATAATAATCGATCGATCGATAGACTTGCTCGTGCTTATACAAATGTTTAATGGATGATGATTATGAGATAGACATACATTACGTTTCTAATTTTTATTTTTATTTTGTCTTTGATGAGATTGATTTTGCCAATATTAAATTGATATTCATAGAACAGGTGATTGTAATCAAGGTCATAAGTCACCTGGAGTTTTTCTTTTTCTTCTTTCTTTTAATGTCTATTGATCACCTATATTTATTGACTATTACGGTCGAATGATCGACCATAAGGTGTTATTTTAGTGTTTCAATCTAACTCATAAATAATTAAAGCCGACTATAACCAAAGCTTTGTGTTTAATTGAATTGAGGTGTTTTAAAATATGTTGTACATAGTTAAATATGTGATTGAACAAGGCTCGTTCGACAAAATCTAACTCTTCACTTCCATGTAGTGTCAGATAGACTCTAGTGTAGAGTGCTTTAAGTCTAGACACCTTACGCATGTTTTACAATGATTGCGAAATAGAGGTATCTCGAGAGATTGAAAGTTTTTTTTTTACGAACAATAAAACGTTGTGGATTCATTTCGTTCTCTGGTTGGGTACACTTATGATTTTATTTTTCTGAATTTATCCATCAAAGAAATATAATAATGACAATACATGTTCTCCTTTTCTTTTGTAATTGAATAGATCCACTTTAAATTTTCTATTTATTTTTAATTTAATTCACTTCTAAGAATGTTTATTTCTCGTTCTTTTTTTTTTTTTGTTCTATGAATGAAGACAGACAAAATCTGTTCTTGTAAAAGTGTCTACTCCTTTGGTGGTGTGATTAACAATGAAAAATTAATCAATTATGTTTTTTTTTTGTCTTTTTTGAAGTTCAATGATGCATAATTTATAAACTAATGAACTTATTTTTTACTTAACAATAAAAAGAAAAGAAGTAAAACATACTGTGTATTAATTGAAATGAAGTAGTTATACATTACAATTGTTTATTAAGGAGAAACAAGACACATTAAATAGTTTATACTTATATAAATTCGATCAATCATCGTTATCGAATTAAAAAGAAAAATGTCATTGTAACAATGTGCATGAATATCGGAAGTAGTCTATCATGAGACTCACTACACTAAGATATAAATGTGAGCAATCATCGCACCTGTCATTTTCTCTCTTTGTTTCCCAAATGACTCGTTCTTATTCAATTTATTTCACCTGAATAGATGAAACATAGATAGCGTGTCATCTCAAAATTGATCATTGTTGAAAGTGATAGGCATATGTATATATATATACACTTATTTATTATATATGCCAATAAGAGAAAACAAAATTGTGTTGCGACTTAAACAGATTAGCTACTCGTATTGATTACAAATGATCGGGTCGCGTGTGCTTGTTATCATAAATTTTGCTCTCTTTCTTTCGGTTTTTTTTTTCTTTGAATATTATTTAAGCATCATTGTGTTGCCTCAAGGGTTTTTATCTTTATATATATATATGTTTGAAGTCGAACAGCATTAGCAGATGGATAGGCGGTAACATATCTATAACAACAACTAACTTTTTATTATATTACTTTAATAATTCAAGCATAGTCTAATTTAACAATAATTAACAAATTAAAATTTAACTATGATTAAATATATGAATTTTTCTTATCGTTTAATTTGTTTGCATTGTCTATCTTCTTTTGAGACATCCAATCAGTGGCACGGTTCAGCTAATCCATCCACTCGCATCATCATTTGAAATCTATGTTGTCAATTCGTTCGCCTCTTTGTCTCACTTGAAATGATTCTAATCCTAATTTAGTTTATGTTATATATATATATATATTTCTCTTTCCGCATCGTCTTCTTCCTTTAATAACTACTACTACTACTAGTTTCTATATTTAATAGAGTCAATCGAACGACAATGAACATCAATCTTGATGGTAGTGCGTGCAACACAAAGAAAATCGAACACATTTTATAAAAAAAAAAAGACATAGAGAGAGAGAGAAAGAAAATATTTGATCGATGTTAAAGAAAACAATTTGCGATCGAAAGCAAATCTCAAGAGAGATGATAGGCAATAAAGAAAAAAAAGAGGAGAGACAAGGTAGAGTCATTCAATTTTCTCTTTCTCTTTTTTTTTCTTTTTATTGTTTGTAACCAATCAATAAAGAGATTAATAGAGAGGGAGAGAGAGAAATATAGTACACATTTTAATTTTTCTAATTACATTTCATATCACGCCCGATTACAGAAAGTCGAATGGCTTCAACAACTAGTTTCTTTTACCTGCTGCCAACAACAATGTCAAAAACATTAAAAACAAAACGACGATGTTTTCCTTCATTTTTTATTACTGATATACTTGGTAATCATAGTTGTTCATCATCACCTAATAATAAAATTCATCTAACATCAATAACAGATAAAGATGTTGATGAAAGTGGTGATGAAGATAATATAATGTTACATGAAAGTGATGATAATGGTAAGTTGAATTAGAAGTATAACTCAGCACTAAAGACAGAATGATTGAATCTCATGACTGTTGATTTTAACCAATTGTAATATTTGTTTTTGAAATTTTATAGAATCAGATATTGGTGAAGAGACTAGTACATCCGATAGTGGTGGTCATAGTATTAATACAAGATCATTAAAAACAAATAAAAAACCACGTAAAGCTCGTACAGCATTTACTGATCAACAATTAAATTGTTTAGAAAAAAGTTTTGAAAAACAAAAATATTTAAGTGTTCAAGATCGTATGGAACTTGCTGTTTGTCTTAATTTATCTGATACACAAGTTAAAACATGGTATCAAAATCGAAGGTAATTAATTATATGAAGTTTTTTTTTAATCATTTTTTTCTATTTTATTTATAGAACTAAATGGAAACGACAAACTGCTGTAAGTTTAGAATTTCTTGAACAACAAGGAAATTTTGCTGCTGTTCATCGATTATTTCAACATCATTCACATGTTAATACTAATGTTGGTAATTTACATCATTCTCTATGGTATTCACCATATATACAATCATGTACAACTGCTGATACATTCTTTACATTACAACAAAAATCTTTAAGAGACACAAATAAATCTTCATATGAATCATTAACTTCGACTGTAACTAGTTCGAACAAATCTGTATAAATTCTTTTTTCTTTTTGTTTTTTGTGGCTTGTCTTTTATTCTTCTATATTCTCATATAAATAATTATATACATTCAATACAGTATGATTGAAAGAAATGCAAATATGTGCGATGATTGTTTTGTTTCAATCGATCTTCACCGACGAAGTGAAATCATAGGAAGTCAATAGCTTTGCTTTTTTTTTTGTTTTGTTTCTACAGAGTAATTTGATTGATTGATTGATTGATAATTCAATTTTATTCATTCAACATACATATACACACCTGTAAACAGTAATATAGTGAAATAATTTTTGTTTAATCAATTTTTTACTCTCTTATGTATATTGAAAATGATGGTAGAGAAAACAAAAAAAAAAGAACAACAGAATTTGTTCTATTCTTTACATGTGCAATACTCAATATGTGACGAAATGGAAATAATCATGATGATGATGATGATTAAAAAATGAGCACTTGATAGGCTTTTGAATAAAGTACGGTATATATTGATGATGCTTGTCAAGAGTTTTTTTTTCGCTTATTCACGCATGCATCTTACAGGTATCATTGATTGTAAAAGTAGAATATCAAAAAAGAAATAGTTGTTCTTTTTCTCTTTATTTTAATTGAAAATATTAGAAAATTATTAAAAATATTCTTTAATTGATTATAAACAATATTTATAGAGAATATTTTCGATTAAAAAGAAATCATGTATATAGTAAATTTTTTGAAGAAATCTATTTTGTCGGTTTTGATTAACTTCTATTCGAATAATCATACTAGTAGTTTTGATGAAGACAAATATTGACAAGCAGTTTTTGTTCTCTTATAGAAAGACAAAAAAAAACAAACTTGAAGCTATCGATTCAGAGATTCTTACATGTAAGAATTCAGTTCAGTTTATAAGTAATAACTGAACACTTGAATATAAGTGTCTCGAAGTCACGAAGATTGAGTGAGGTTATAATTAGCGGGGACCAATCGTTTTTGGTCCCGATCCTGATCAGAAAAAACTCGTGGTCTGGGTCTCGGTTAGAGAAAATCCTTGATCCTGATGAGAAAAATTTTTGATTCTGGGTTCAAGCTTAGTAATACACGTACTAGCAAAAAAATGCGATATGAGTTTCTATCAGTGTCAATAAGCTCAAGACATCTTGTCTCTTGGATGTTCATTACTTTTTTTTTAATTTACTAATACTTCATCTATTTTGCAGTCAGTGATGAATGGGATCATCTTGCCCATATCTAGAAGTTGTTCAATTTCTCTGGGAAAAAACGAAGAAGTTTTGCAAGATTGAAGATTCGCCTGTGCTTGGAATACTTCTGCACTTGAAAATGAAACACATTGCATGTTCATTTAAAGTTCTTCTTTGATTCCAAAAGTGCTTAATTATTGGAACTATGATTTTTGAGATTTTGACAATTGTATACGTTGTATTCATGTTCATAGAAGACGAAAGATGTGTATAAATCTTTAAATTTAAGATCACTATTTGAATTATATAACTAAAATGAATAGAATAGAAAACAAAATTGAAATTAAAAATGACAAATTCTTTCTATTAAAATTCGTGTATCAATAAGATTTTAGTTCAGTATCAATGTTTTTTCTATTCGTGAAATCTACTGTAGTTCAATCTTGATTAATTTCCTTTTTCCGTAACAATAAGAGCATTGACTAAAATAAATCAATCTTCATGCTTATAGTCTCTTCTTATCCTATTTGTTTATTTCGCTTTAAATAAGACAATTTTTTCAACGGTCATTACATAAATGAAGTTAACTAATTACTTTGAAATAAAAGAGAAAGTTAAGAAATTGCATTAATATTTTTAAAGAAAATGAT